CTGTTAGCTAAGCTAACACAGCAGTGGTAGATTAGCTACCGCTGCTATTGGCTAAGCTAACACAGCAGTGGTAGATTAGCTACTGCTGCTATTAGCTAAGCCAACACAGCAGCGGTAGATTAGCTGCTGCTGCTGTTAGCTAAGCTAACACAGCAGCGGTAGATTAGCTACCACTGCTATTAGCTAAGCTAACACAGCAGTGCTTTATTACCTAATTCAAACACTTTCTCTACCGATTACCTGTCAGTTGGTGTTTATGTCACCTTTTTTACTTTTGTAACTGAACGGAAACACATATTTCCACATCAGGTCTACATGTTATGGTTGTCATAGTCAAGCTAGCAGAGCTGACCTACTTTTCTCTCCTTTGCTATTTTTTCTTTTTTATTAAAACTTTTTCCTGGCCTTGTCATCTGCTTGTCATAGTGTAGCAAAGCTCGCTTTTGCTTTTACATGTTGGGTGTCCATTAAGATTTAGAGCGTTATGTTGACAACTGAACAGCTAAAACCAATGCTAGCCATCGTTAGCTAGCAGTTTATTGCCCTCCTGCAGAGATCCATATTAAAGGTTTTAATGTAGCTGCAGCTGCAGGCCGTGTTTCTGTTTAAACAAAAAACAACAGATTTTTGTTGTTTTTAAATACAAATTAAAATTAGTTTCTAGCTACCTGAGACAAAAATATGTTGTCACAGAGAGACTTAAACATGACTCCCTGTGTTTATACAATAATACTGGCTGAGGTTGGTGGGATCGTTGATCTGAGGTGCCATTAAATGTATTTAAAAAAAAATTAAAATCAAGTTTTGTTGTAAAAGGAAGGTTTGTGTCAATGTTTTGGACACTGATACACAGGTGGAAAAAGGCACTAATCTTATTTCATCTTTCTCATCTCAGTGTGACCAAAGCTAATAAGGAACCGATTCAGAAGGAAGAGACTGTGGACGAAGATGAAGATGAGGAGGAAGAGGAGGAAGATGAGGACGAGTACAACTATGTCTACGGGGATGAAGAGACAAATATTAATGCAGAGGAGGAAAAAGAAGAGAAAGAAGAAGAAAGCAGCAACCAACCAAAGAAAATCAAACAGAACCAAATCTCTCTTCGTAAGAGTGAGTAATATTTTCTTTATTATATTATCCTGCATTCGTTTTGATAGAAATATGAATGATTATTATTTACTTCAGTCTATAATTTATCAGCATGCAGATCATTTTATTTCACCTTAAAGTCGTCATGCTGTTCATAACACTCCAGCAAGAAACTTTAGAAATCAGTTATTCTGGAGATTAACTGAGTCATCCCATAAGAAAAATACTCAGAAAAAAACAAAAACAAATCTTACAAAGCAGAAAAGAAAGTGTTTTCATATCTGACTGCAGACTCAGCTTACTCATTAATTATTGTTTTGATTTTTCAGACAATTAATCGATTAACCTGTTTTTTAAAAATGGCAGATACTGCAGATATTTTTTTTAACCACATAAGGCATTTTTATGCAATGTTAGAAGTAAGTTAAAAAAATAAAAATAAACAATTAACTGGTTTAAAAAAAAGCTATTTAATAATTGACTACTTTAGCACACAAAAAAATGTCTTTTATTTTAGCAATTAATCTACAGATGCTCTAGAGTTCACTAAAGGGGGCTAAAGGTGCTTAGCTTATATATATATCTATATACATAAAACTTTTTTTTAACCAGGTGAAACTAAAACTGAGTCGAACATATATAGAAAGGTTTTATTTATCTTAGATGCAGAATGCAGTCTTTTTTTTTTTTTTTTTTTTTTTTTAGGGGGTTTATTTTGATATAAAATTTT